GCCAATAAGAAGCTACAGTAGCGGTGGCTCACGCCTGTAATCCTAGCACTCTGGGAGGCTGAGGCAGGCGAATTGCTCGAGGTCAGGAGTTCGAAACCAGCCTGAGCAAGAGCAAGACCCCGTCTCTACTATAAATAGAAAGAAATTAATTGGCCAACTAATATATATAGAAAAAAATTAGCTGGGCATGGTGGCACATGCCTGTAGTCCCAGCTACTCGGGAGGCTGAGGCAGGAGGATTGCTTGAGCCCAAGAGTTTGAGGTTGCTGTGAGCTAGGCTGACGCCACGGCACTCACTCTAGCCTGGGCAACAAAGCGAGACTCTGTCTCAAAAAAAAAAAAAAATAAAAGAAGCTACAGTAGTGCTTAAAAGTGACCATATTCTGGGTAAGCAAGACATAATCATATTATAATAGATAAAATTTAATGAAACTTTTTGTCAGGCATTTGAAGTTTCTAGGAAACTAGCTCCTGAGTTACGTCAAAACAAAACTAAAAATCAACTACTGTGAAGTATACTTTTCATTTTTTCCTTTAAATCATCATAAAGCAGTGGCTAAAAAAAACTCTTTCATGTGATTTGAGGTCAGATACAAAAATGAGAATTAAGAACTAGTTCTATGAAAGTACGCATCAAATGCCATTTCCCTGAATTGCATGGATCTGTGATGGCGTGAGAATGGGTATAGGCTGAGAGGCAGAGCCTTCTGTAGGGCAGGGCATATAGAAAGAACATAGCAGTTGGGCAAGAGAATTTTAAAAAGAACTCTTAAGGAATCCAGACTTCAGGAAGGACATAATACATTTTTTTTCTCTAAGTAAATCTTGTAAAATTGCCTTCAAATTTTGTTCTATGCCAACTTACTATTTTCCTTATTTGATTAGAACCATTTGGGGGATCCTAGATATTCTATAGATTTATTGTCTTAAACTTTATTATAGAATAAAAAAGATTTTGTTAATGATCAGATTTTCATATCTGCTGAAAAAGCACCATCTAGAAAATCAGTTCCTTTTAAAGAGGGACAACTTAGGGAATCAACACTGTAAAAGAAAAACTGCTCATATCCATATATTAGGCTTTTTTTTTTTTTTTTTTTTGAGACAGGCTCTCACTCTGTTGCCTGGGTTAGAGTGCAGTGGCATCATCATAGCTCACAGCAACCTCAGACTCCTGGGCTCAAGTGATCTTCCTGCCTCAGCCTGCCGAGTAGCTGAGACTACAGGTGCCTGCCAACATGCCCAGGTAATTTTTAAAAAAATTTTTATAGAGGATGAGGTCTTGCTATGTTGCTCAGGATGGTCTAAAATTCCTGGCCTCAAGGGATCCTTTCATTTTAGCCTCCCAAAGTACTAGGATTACAAGCATAAGCCATTGCTCCTGGCCCCATATGTTAGTTTTAAAATACTTTTCTTTCCAATTAAAAATATATATTATATACAGAAAGTTACCAAGGTAAAGCAATTTGTTGTTCTGCACAGTAATATCACCAGCATGGAGACAGGTAATGTTTCTAAGCAATACCTCTGCAACTATAGAGGGGAAATATAAAAGAAGATTTATATCAATAAAGGCAGTGAAATAATTAAATAATTTTGTGTAAAGCTTAGCTTCCCATGCTTATTTTTTTTTAGAGTATCCTTTTGCATTAATTGTTTTAGGTTCTCCTTAGTTCATCTACAATGTATAAATTCTTATTATAAAGTATGATTTATCTTTGAATTATTTTAGTAAGGATGAAGCAAATCAGGTAGTACTCTCTTAATAAACTCAAGAATCCTAAAAGTCAATTAAGCTTACTCCTAATCCAAGAAAAAGTTAAAACCAAAATTAAACCAACTTATAGACCCCTATTTTTTACCACTTCCTTACCTCTCTGTTTCTGCTATTTATTCAACTATCGTTATTATTACTTTTATATTAGGAAACATTTGTTTCTTCTGCTTAGATTTGTTTCATAAATCACTAAATTCTTACTTTCTCTCACAATAGGACTTCATCCAAGGATGTATTTAATCGTATTAAACCAAGAAACTATGGTAAACTTTAGGTTGAGAGTCACAGAGTCACTTAGTCTCTAGGCCCAGCTATGTGACCTTGGACTAATTCAGTTTGGTCATGTGTACGAGGATGACAATATTTAATCCACAAGAGGGTGGTGAGGCTTGCATGAGATTAATGTATACGAAAGAAATGTTTAAAGTGGGATACAAATGTGAAAGCCTCAGTTTCTTTATCTGTCATATGGGAGGATTTAATTAAGTTATTGCTAAAGACTTCTCATCTCTAAAAATTGATATTTACATTTGAAGCACATAAAAAATTTACTGATAGGATAATTTTATAATTGTAAGACCCTTAGGGAACAATGAACTCAACCTTCTCATCTTACAAAATGAGTGCAAACACAAGGTAATAATTTTACGTCTCATATGGAACCAGAGAACTATATAGCAAAAGCAATCTTAAGCAAGAAGAACAAATTAGGAGGCATCAATTTACCAGACTTCAACCTATACTACAAGGCTATAGTAACTAATACAGCATGGTACTGGCACAAGAACAGAGACATAGACCAATGGAACAGAACTGAGAACCCAGATATAAAACCATCCTCATGTAGCCACCTAATCTTTGATAAAGCAGACAAAAACATACACTGCGGAAAAGAATCTTTATTCAATAAATGGTGCTGGGAAAACTGGATAGCCGCATGTAGAAGACTGAAACAGGATCCACATCTTTCACCTCTCACAAAAATCAACTCATAGTGGATAACAGACTTAAACCTAAGGTGTGAAACTATAAGAATTCTAGAAGAAAATGTTGAAAAAAACTGTTACAGACATTGGCCTAGGCAAAGAATTTATGAAGAAGATCCCAATGGCAATCACAGCAACAACAAAAATAAGTAAGTGGGACCTGATCAAATTAAAAAGCTCTACACAGCCAAAGAAACTGTCAAGAGAGCAAACAGACAACCTACAGAATGGGAGAAAATATTCACGTGTTATACATCCGATAAAGGGCTGATAACTAGAATCTATTTAGAACTCAGGAAAATCAGCAAGAAAAAATCAAACAGCCCTATCAAAAAGTGGGCAAAGGACATGAACAGAAACTTTTCAAAAGTAGATAGACTAATGGCCAACAAACATATGAAAAAATGTTCAACATATCTAATCATCAGAGAAATGCAAATCAAAACCACAATGAGATATCACTTATCTCCAGTGAGAATAGCCTTTATCAAAGAGTCCCAAAACAATAAATGTTGGTATGGATGTGGAGAGACAGGAACACTCCTACACTGCTGGTGGGACTGCAAACTAGTTCAACCTCTGTGGAAAGCATTATGGAGATCCCTTAAAGTAATACAAGGGATCTACCATTTGATCCAGCAATCCCATTACTGGGTATCTACCCAAAAGAACAAACGTCACTCTATGAAACAGACACCTGCACTCAAATGTTTATAGCAGCATAATTCACAATTGCAAAGATGTAAAAACAGCCGAATTGCCCATCAATACATGAGTGGATTAATAAAATTTGGTATATGTATATCATAGAGTACTATTCAGCTATAAGAAACAACGGTGATATAGCACCTCTTGTATTTTCCTGGATAGAGCTGGAACCCATTCTACTAAGTGAAGTATTCCAAGAATGGAAAAACAAGTACCACATATACTCACCAGCAAATTGGTTTCACTGATCAACACCTAAGTACACACATATAGCAATAACATTCATTGGGTAGTTCATTCATTGGTCAATTCATTGGGGCAGATGGGAGGGGGGAGGAGGGAATGGGTATATACACACATAGTGAGTACAATGTACACTGTTTGGGGGATGGACACGCTTGAAGCTCTGACTCAGGTGAGGCAAGGGCAATATATGTAACCTAAACATTTGTACCCTCATAATATGCTGAAATAAAAAAGAAATAAAAGAGACTTAGAAAGCAGACAAGTCAATAGGAAAGTTGGGAGTTGGTAGGACCTAGATCTGACTCCAGCGTCAAAGGATATGTTGCCGTTCACTAATCTGTGAATTTAAAATTTCTTTTCATTATAGGATCATGCAGCTTAAACAACTGCCTTTTCAAAATGGTGACAATGAAAAGCATATTAAAAAGATATAAATTTTATTTTGATGAGATAATTTAGCTGCTAATATTTGAATTAACAATGTTTACAAATGACATTAATAGCAAAAGGAGCTCAGACCAAATTGTCCAGCTATGTTTTTGATTTGTGTGATATTAAATTTTAAGTCCAGATAGGCATGATGTAAACTCTACTTAACCTTTCCAAATAAAGGGTTTTGATTCTGCTTTTGTTTCTTACTAGCTATGTGATCTTGGGCAATTTACTTATTTCTCCGTTTTAAGGATGAAAGATAATACCAAGTATGTCACCTGGCTACTGTGAATTAAGTGAGTTGGCTCATGTTAAATCCTTACAATAGTGTCTAGCACACAGTAAGTGCTTACAAATATTAGTTTCCTTCTCAATCTTCTAAACTTTAGGAGAATAGAGAATGCTTTCCCCTATTTTTACTTTGTCAGAAAGCTTCCTTAAATGAAATACACATGGGTCCTAGTCCTCAACTTCAGTGATCAGCAGTTGCACAACAACTAAACCTAAATAAAATTGGGGAAACTGTGACATAAGGGAAAGGAAATGAGGTTTGAAGTCAACAGATCTGAGACTGAATCTCAGCTTGACTCTCTAAGAGCTTTTGACTATAAGCAAACCTCACAAAACTTCTCATCTTAGTGAGAATATTATCTAGCTTTTTATCTTTTTGTCTTTCACATTCATAGTTAGAATGCAAATATTTTGAAAAGGGCATGTCGTATTCATCTCTGTCTCCTCTATTACAGCAAGATTCAAAATTATTAGATTTGCTGCTAGAATAAGGCAAGAGATTGATAAAAGAGATTCAAAACCAGAATGAACATGTTATTAAGGAAAGAAGAAGAATAAACCTGGTTTAACTGGTTCCAACAGTAGGCATTATGTTGTTACTTCCTTTTCTTTCCTTACAAATGGTCCTCAAATATTCTTTTCCTACAGGAAGATGCAAAGTGGGGAATATATATTAGTTAGGGGCATTTGAATCACTCTTAAAACTGAGCATTCTTTAATTCTTCATAAGGCAGAATCAAACTTTTACTTTGATCAAACTATTTGATGGACTTGTTTTTAAGCAATAAAATAACAAGAGGTGTTTTAGTTGGTTAATACAACAGAAAACTATAGGTTTAACAGCCCCCAAATAAACATATCCCCTAATATAAATGAATTTGTTCCTTAATTCCAAAAATTACTTTCAAAGAACAGCAATACCTCTGTTAAAGATGAATTACTCAGAGATTGCATGAAGCACTGTAGTTTATCACATTATACAAAAATACTTCTGGTTTTTATAGTTCTTAACCTTTTAGGTAGAGAGTGAGTGGTAAATTACAGGAAACTGTGAGAATCTGAAAAAAGCTATGAATTGCATCTCCATAAAAATGTACATACATGCATCATAATTTGCACATTTTATCTTGCAATTTTAGTTGAGTCATGAAACCTAGTTACACACCCTGTGGATCTCTAAAACCTGTTGGTAGACTCCAGGTAACTCCTGTTCTTAAGTTTTTAAAAATGAATGAATTTATAGAATTTTCAAATCTTAAACAATTTAGGAATCATCTAATGTAAGCTGTTAATTAAAAAATAAAGAAATACTGACTCAGAGAGATGAAAAGGACAGTAAGGTCCTGCACTCATGAACAGAGAGGTGTTCAACCACTATGCTAACCCTCATGAGACTGCCCATGCAGAATTTAGTATAAATCAGTGCCTCTGAGTCAGAGTAATTCTCACAATGGAACCAGAATAGGAGACTTTAAAGTGATTTTTTGGTCTCAACATATACAAGATCAAAAGCGAATGAATTTTAGAATTATAAAGATGTGTGAAAACATTGATCAAGTCACTTAACCTTTCTTATCCTCAGGTTCTTCAAATGTAAAATGGAAATAATAAAACATATCCTTGTATGATTATTTTAAGGATAAAAGGAGACAATGTAAATAAAGTATTCAACACAGTCCCTAGTACATAGTAGGTGCTCATGAAATGATAGGAATTAAAAAATGTTTCTTGTCAAGTAATGGAATAGGATTAAATATAAAACAAAATCTCAAAGTAAATAAAATTTTTCCAGCTGAACAAAATAGGTGGCAAAGTTAAACATTTATTATCTATTATGCTACATAATGCTATATAATGTCATACTGTTCAAGGTGTTACTGAGCATATAAAAAGGATAAACTTGTCCTCCTTTTAAGAGAAATTAGGCAGATACAGAGCTTTTTCCTTCTCAGTTTTCTTCTTTGGTTCCTCTTTTCCTTTTCTCTTAGCGTTCAGTGTTTTATCCACTTCACACTCTACCCACATTCTCTGTGTTCCCACCAGGACTGCGAGGACCCTTAAATGAATTCACTCACTCTGGACCTTTCACCTGAGCCTCAGACTCCTACATCCAGTTATTTGCTGAATGTTTAAAATGGAAGATTCCATAGACAAAAGTTCAGTATATTCAAAACTGAACTGTTTATCTTCTCCTAAAATCTGTTCCTTTTTGAAAGTTCTTGTCATAGTTAGCAGCACCACAGCCACTTAACCACTCAAGTGAAAATTTTTACAGTAATGTCACATTTCACCAATCTTCAAGTCTTATTGATTATGACTCCAAACACTTTCTATTTCCTCAACTCCATCCCTATTAACAGTATCCAAATCCAGATTATCTCTCAATATGACCAAATCAGTAATCTAACTCATCTGCCCATCTCTACTCTTAACCTACTTCAAATTTATGTACATACTGTTGCCAAAATGATTGGTCTAAAACAAAAATCTTGCCATATCAAGCAATATCATACATCAAACCCTCATATGTCAAACCCTTCAATACCAACTTATCACTCACAGAATAAATGTCCAAGTATGGCACAAAGTCCTTAATAACCTGGCTCATGCCTATATCTTCAGCTTCATTTCCTATCTCCCACCTCATCACATCACGAACATACTAAACTATTTGCCAATCCCATGTATTCTCATGCTGTTCTCTTGGCCAATATATCCCTATCTGCTTTCTACACAAGGGAAACTCTTACTCATTCTTCAAGATTCAGGTCCAGAATCATCTCCCCTGGAAACACTGACCAAAGCATGCTTCTCTGCCCCACCAAGTGCACACATCATCACAAGCACTCAGGACATGTTTCATTGAATAAAAATGAAACTCAACAAACTAATGACAAAGCAATATATAATTTATGCATACAAAGCCAGCGAGGATCAACAGAGTATGTATACATATATATATATATACATAGATACATACATTCATATACGTATTTTTGAGTGTGTGACATATGACATATCCAGCAGGAAATACAAATTGTAGAACACTCTATTGTGAGATTCTCTTATGATCTGCGCATGCATACAAGTGACTATAAAAGCACCACAGATACAGATTCTCTTATGATCCAGTTCTATATTTCCACTTGGCACACTGCATACCTCTACCTGAATGATTTATCAGTACTTCAAACTTAAAAGACCAAAATCATCATATGCCCTTACACCAAATATGTCTTCTGCTATATTAGTTCTCCAATAATAGCATTATCACATCTACTCAAGTCATTTTGTCACTGTCTCCTTTCTCTATCAAATGCTACCATGGCACCAAATCATGCTGATTCTTCCCCTGAAATATGTCTTCATGTTATTCCCTCTGGTCCAGCCCACTATGGCCCACTATCACCAAATGCTCTTCTATTACTTGGACCACTGGCACAGTTTACTGTCTTCCCTCTCTATCTCATACTCCAAAATCACAGGCTATATTACTGTCAGAGTTTTCTTTCTAAAACCCAAACCTAATCACATTCCTCACGTCCTGGTATCTGTGTGATCAGCTTCAAATTTCTTGGTACGGTATTACTATGTCCATTCATGATTTGGCACCAAATCATCTTATTAGACTCACATCCCCTGACACTCATACCTGATAAACTCTATAATCCAGCCACAGTAACCTCCTCCCATTCTTTGGATATGCCATGCTTTTTAAAGGCCCTTTTACATACGTTAGTGCTCCCGCTAGGAATGCTCTTTCTTTCCATTCTCGATTTGATCTCAAACCCTCTGCTGACGTCCCCTCCCCACATCACTTTCTTGAGCCTCCATCTCAAGCCAGGTTTTTTCCCCTCTTTTCCCCTCCACAGAATTTTCACACATTTCTATTAGAAAAATTACTTCAATTTAGTTCTAATTACTAAGAGCAAATGCAAGAACATACAAGGTTGACTAAATATTACTACTGTAGCAGGGTGATATGGATTTATTAGAATATTGTCCACTCTAGTGTATGCTAAAGTTCCATTAAAAGAAAGTAAAAAAGGCAAGAGAGAGAATAATATATTTGTCTACAATTAACTGAAAATCTGATTTATGCATGACTTAAACAAATAGGGCATTACTTTCCCCCCCACACAAGATGTCCAGAGGTGATTCGTCTAGGATTAGTACAGAAGCTCAAGAGGATCACCAACTCTAAGGTTCTTCCTATCTTTAAGCTCATTAAGTGTATTGATTTGTTGCTTCAAAGCTGCTTGCTGTAGATGCCAGCATTACTTCTGTATTCATGGCAATAAAAATGACGATGCCAGTCACATACCCTCTAAACAAGAAAAACAAAAGGCTTTTCCTAGTGCCCTCAGCAAACTTGGTTTATATCACATTGTCTTAGGTAAGCCACCAGTGTCTTGATGACCTGATCTCCTTGAGGGCTGAAACTGTTTTTGTACTCTAGCAACTGATCCAGTACACCTAGCACATACAGGTACTTTGTATCTATTGAATATATGAGGAATAAAAGAAACTGTATTAGGTCATTAAACATAAAATGCCCAATTTCAAGTCAAAAGTGTAGTTTATATCTCAAACAAGAAGCAGTACAATTAATCAAAGTATGCACATAAACTATTGACACAGTTTTGCCATTTTAATAGTAGCTTGTTTATGCCAGCAGCCAAGAAGCCTGGAAAATGAGTGGCAATGAAATCATGAAAGGCGTTTTCCACAACTTGTTGAGAATTGAATATTTTTCCTTGCAAGAAGTGGTCCAAAGCCTGGAAGATGTGGTAGTCAGTTGGCACAAGGTCTGGTGAATATGGTGGATGACAAGAGAGTTTCTAAGTCCAGCTTCTAAGGACTCATTGAGCAGCAACATGTGGTCTTACAAGAGGATTGGCCTGTCTCTATTGATCAGTCTTGGCTGCTTAATTGCAAGCATGCTCATTTCATCCAACTGGTTGCACGAGACATCCACTATAATTGATTGATCAGGTTTCATGAAGCTGTAGTGGAAAATATCAGCGCTAGACCACTAAACAGACACCATTAGCTTTTTTTGATGAATATTTGGTTTAGGATTGTGTTTCTGAACTTCACCTGTATCCAACTGTTGTTCTGGGCACTTGTGATTGTCAAAAAGAATCCATTTTTCATCACATATAACAATATGGAGTAGAAACAATTTGTCTTTATGTTGTAACAGCAAAAAAAAAAAAAAGGGAAGCTTCGAGACTATTTCTCTTCTGACGCTCACTTAATTCATGCGATACCCATCTATCCAGCTTCTTTACCTTGCTGATTTGTCTCAGATGGTCCAATATTGTTGGAATAGCAACATCAAATCTTGCTGCTAATTCATGCGTAGGTTGAAATGGATTCACTTCCTTCTCACTCCGTTCACTTTCAGCTCATTATCCACCTTGGTCTCAGGTCACCCACATGGCTCATTTTCAATATTAAAATCACCAGAATGGAGCTTCTGAAACCATCGATGTACTGTGTGTTCATTAGCCACGTCCTTCCCAAACACTTTGGTGACATTTCGAGCTGTCTGTGCTGTTCTACAATGGAATTCATTTAAAAAATAACATGAATTGACTTACCATGGCTTCACAAAACTTGCTCTAAAAAAAAATTGAAAGATAATCATAAGCCAAACTCCGAGTTTGAAAGAATGAGGATGTTTCCTCACAAGAAAAAAAAAAGGCATTGAAGTGAAATGTCAGAGATATCAACTGTCAAACTTAGTACTTAAGGAAATTGGACATTCCATACTTAACCTATTATTACTAGTAAGTATAATAACACAAGAATTCTGCTTTCTCAATTTTCTTTTAAATAGTATAAAGAGCATTTTAAAAGTTGCAGGTGTCATGCAAATAAAGAATTATTGTATTATTGTTTGACATGTCATATCATGAGATAATACACTATTACTGTTCTCTGCCAGATAGAGCATTAACAAGGAATCAAGACACCTGAGTTTCTGTCTAAGCAAAACATTCAATCTTGCTGAACCTCTGTTTACCTAAAAGATAATGTGTATTTATTTCCCAGGGTTGTTCTGAGGATAAGGGAAAATATAAGTAATATGAATACACATTGAAATGTATAAAATGCTATAATGTATAAAATGCTATATGTATAAAATGCTATAAAAACAATGGCCCTGTTAAGTCCTGAAAGAAAACTTACAGTCTTATGTAGTATGCATAGAACATCTGGCCAATATGAATTAGAAATTTAATACCATCAACCCCTAGTATGGATGCTGGACGTTAGTCTATGATAGATAAGTTTTTGAACTTGGTCTTTGTTCTTTGACTGCTATAGAAAACTAAACTATCTGTAAAGCTATACCTCATTAAGGAAAAAACGCTTTATAAAGTAAAATTGGTGTTTCATTACAATTCTGTGATACATACAATTTGAAAAGCAGGATATGAAAAACAAAATAAATGGGATAACTGAGAACAGTTGACATCAAATCCCAATTTATCAATTAATAATTGCTAGCAATGAATGAATAATACTAAAGTAGGCTGAGGTCCTAAAGTGCTTCTAAGGTAAATCAAGTGAGAAACAAAACAGTAGAAGCACTGAATATTAGTTTTCCTCAGGCTTTAATAATCCTGAGTGAGATTATAAAGAGGACCCCTCAGGGTGACCTGGCTCTTATGAGAAGACCACATTGGTAATCAGAACTATTTCTTTAATTGATAATCTCAATGGCCTGTTCTCCAAGTTTTTATTAAGCGGTGTATTTCCTCATCTAGAAGAATGTTATATTAAAATAAGCATGGCATATACAACATAAAACAGTAGCTAATACTAAGGAAGAGAAAAAAAGCATTTCTAAAACAAAAAATCTCTGATGCATGTTCACTTTTATTGGGTTTAGAGACAATAGATGCTTTGAAAAACAAGATCTTCTGTCAAGTCCATTTATTAACTCTCACTTCCCAAACATTCAACTACTTTAACCTTATAAATAAAGTCTCATCATATTCTGATTCATTTAAGCAGAAACTCTTCTCCATGTGGGTTACCATGGAATTATTTAAATACTGAAAAGTGACTCATCTTAATGCAAAACACTGCCTCAAGACTGTAGGCTGGTAAATTCCAGCACAACGCTACATAAAGCAACATGAGGTCATAAACAGAACTGAAAAATTCGAAATAGTAGGTCAGACTTCTTATCTTGTAGTTACGTCAATGGGAGGAACATCTATTTCAACAAGAAGTCAAAATGCCCAAATGGTAAAAATGAGCTTACATTTTATAGCTATAGCCACCCAGTTTCAACTACATAGATTATTGTTTTTAAACAAAAGGGGAAAGAATGTTTCCTTCCTGTTTTATCTGCATACATGGCTTTATCAGCTAAAGCTTAACCAGTGAATATTTCTCCTACAAAGAAAACTTGGGGTACCTGGAATAAACAATAAATTATTTGTCAATGTGTCAATGTTTGTAACATGAGAAGTTATAAGTGATATTTTACCATAAGGAGCTATTTTAAATATTTAACTTGTAGATGGAAGAGGAAGTATATTAACTTCAAGATTTACTATTCTTTAAAACATTATTTTCTGTCATTAAAAACTAAAAAGGGGGTGAAGAGGGAGACCAAGAAAGCAAGCTACAGTTGAGTGAAAAGTAAATTGGCCACTAGGGAATAAGAATCCATGAAGGACGCATTGTTTTCTTTGGCACATGAGTTATCTTTATCTAAAATGGTGGAGGACAACTTTATCCTATAGCTGATTACTGTTAACTATGATCTATGATAGTTCTTAGGAGGCTTCATGTTCAAAGGGGCCTATTTTTTTTTAAACTAAAATATGAAGAAAACATTATAAATAATGAAGAAAGGAATATAGGGAGGTAAAGAGAAAATGGAAGGAGGGACATGGACATACAGAATTTTGGCCCAAAGCACCAAGTACAACAGCATGGAGTATGCCTTAGGAGATCAATCACTGCCACATTATGGCATCAAAGATCAAAATTCTAGTTTAGTCTAAAATGACCAAAATTGGACTTAATCAGAAGTAATCAGGCCAGGCGCTGTGGCTCATGCCTATAATCCTAGCACTCTGAGAGGCTGAGGCAGGTGGATCGTTTGAGGTCAGGAGTTCGAGACCAGCCTGAAAAAGAGCGAGATCACATCTCTACTAAAAAATTGAAAGAAATTAGCTAAACAAGTTAAAATATATAGAAAAAATTAGCCAGGCATAGTGGGGCATGCCTGTAGTCCCAGCTACTGGGGAGGCTGAGGCAGAAGGATCGCTTGAGCCCAGGAGATGGAGGTTGCTTGTGAGCTAGGCTGACCCCATGGCACTCTAGCCTGGGCAACAGAGCCAGACTCTGTCTCAAAAAAAAAAAAAAAAAAAAAAAAAAACAACAACAACAAAAAAAGAAGTAATCAGCTGTAAAATATGTAGATCTGAAAGGTCCGGACTATATTCCACTGTGATTCCTGGTTAGGATACCAAATTGAATTTGGAAGAGTTTAGGTGATTTGTATTCGCTAAAATTAGGTCTCAGGATACATACAGAATATGAAATACTCCCTGGAGCAGCAGACTTCATAGATGCTCTGGGGAAGCATTACTGCCCTTCCCTGAAAAAAAGTATTTATTTCACAGCAGCTACTTTAAAACCAACATTTTCACTGCTTCTAATAGTAGGAGAAGTAAAATATTCCAATTTCAAACTTATTCAAAGCCAAAAATAAAAAATATAGCTTCTTATAAACCTATGTTAGCAGCATAGCAAAGTATGTACTACTAACACCTGTGACTGCTTCTTCCCTAAAGCACATGTCTCTTCAGCTGACACAACAGCTTGTCCTTCTTGGAGGAATTCAATCATGCTGTCAATAGTGCCAGGCAAGCAGATGAAAATATTTCTCAGGGGGCAATTTCTCTTAGTGCAATAAGATGTTTCTATTTAAAATTCTATCGCTTCTTGGCCTTTTGGCTAAGATCAAGTGTAGTATCTGTTCTTATAGGTTTAAAATCTTTAGGCACATGATCTCTGAGGATAGGATGGGGAAAAAAGAAACTTACTAGGTTTATACCTCAAAGGTCCCAATGATACCATTTTACAAACTATAAAATTCACTGAGTTCTGAAAATCCATGCTTTGTAAGTTGAAACCTCATTAACAATTATTAGTGGATATCATTACAACCAATTACATTAATAAAACAGGCATATCAAAATTTTTAATCACTCCTGGCCCTCATTTTTTGTTTGTGCTAAGTTTCAGATTTTTTTTTTTTTTTTTTGGAGAGAGAGAGTCTCACACTCTGTTGTCCTGGCTAGAGTGCAGTGGCATCATAATAACTCACTGCAACCTCAAACTCCTAAATTCAGATGATCCTCCTATCTCAGCCTCCTGAGTAACTGGGACTACAGGCATGTGTCACCATGCCTGGCTAATTTTTCTATTATTTTTGTAGAGATGGAGCCTCGTTCTTGTTCAGGATGGTCTCAAAAACTTAACCTCAAGCAATCCTCCTGCTTCAGCCTCCCAGAGGTACGATTACAGGTGTGAGCCACCATGCCCAGCCAGGTAATTATTTGAAAACAAAACAAAACAAAACAAATGGGTTGAATTTAGA